GAAGCTGAGGTCATAGCTCTATATTCTGCTTCTGCACTGGATCTTGCCACAACACTTTGTTTCTTACTTTTCCATGAGATCAAGTTACCACCAATGGAGACACAATATCCAGATGTAGATCTTCTATCCGAAAGAGATCCTGCCCAATCAGCATCTGAGTAGCAAACAACTCTTGTATGGTTATTAGAACCATATAACAATCCTTTTCCAAGAGATCCTTTAATATACTTCAAGATACGAATGACTGCATTCCAATAATCTTCACATGGTGAATTAAGAAATTGACTTACCACACTGACTGCAAAGGAAATGTCAGGACGAATAACTGTAAGATAATTCAATTTTTCAACCAATCTTCTATACTGTTCAAGATCAGATATAGGCTCCCCCTGATTTGGTAGAAGTTTAGTATTGAGATCCATGGGTGTATCAACAGACTTTGAACTCATCAACCCAGTTTCCTCCAAAATATCTATGACATACTTCCTCTGAGATATAACAATACCATCATTGGACTGCGTCACCTCAATACCCAAGAAATATCTAAGTTTGCCAAGATCTTTGATCTGAAAATGGTGATAGAGATGTTGTTTCAACTGAGAGATGTCATGGTTGTCACTACCTGTAAGAACGATGTCATCAACATATACTATCAAGTAAACACATCCAGCACTTGAGTGTCGATAAAAGACAGAATGATCTGATTCACACCGAGTCATACCAAATTGTTGAACAACCTTGCTAAACTTTCCAAACCAAGTCCTAGGAGACTGTTTTAGGTCATATAGGGATTTGCGAAGACGACATACCATCCCAGAAGACTCCCCCTGAGCAACAAACCCAGGAGGTTGCTCTATATATATTTCTTCTTGCAAATCACCATTGAGGAAAGCATTTTTAACATCTAGTTGATAAAGAGGTCATTGTTGAAGAGCAGCCATGACGATAAATAAACGAACAGAAGCCATCTTTGCCACAGGGAAAAAGGTATCTCCATAATCCAACCCAAAAATTTGAGTATAACCTTTGGCCACAAGACGAGCTTTGAGGCGATCAATAGTACCATCAGGTCCAACTTTGATAGCAAACACCCACCTGCAACCAACAACAGATTTCCCAGACGGTAACGGGACCAATTCCCAAGTTTCACTATTATGAAGAGTACTTAGTTCATCTAACATGGCCTGACGCCAACCAGGATGAGCTAAAGCTTCATGGACAGTTTTTGGAATGGTCACAAAAGAAATAGAGGAAAGACATGTATAAAAAGGTAATGACAATTGATGATAATTCAAAACAATATAATGGGGAGAGGGATTACGTGTAGAACGAATACCTTTTCGGAGGACAATGGGAAGGTCAGACTCATGTGTCAGATCCAGAGGAGACAGAGTAGTTGACACTTGAGTAGAGTCACATGGTGGTGGTTGTGATTGGTTTCGAGAACTATAAATCTGAAGAGGCAGTACGACTATGCTTGCCTAATTGACATGACTCACACGCCAAACTAGATAAGTTGGACAAGGCAGGGACAAGTTTCTGTAACTTGGCAAGACTTGGATGACCTAATTGAGCATGAAGAAGAGAAGGAGACTCCATAACTATACTAACATGTGTAGAGGGACGAAGATAATAAAGACCATAAGACTCACATCCTGTGTCAATCACCTATTTCGAACTACGGTCCTGTAAACATACAAAATTGTTGGTAAAAGTAACAACACAATCAAGAGAACGAGTTAAACGACTGATGGACAACAGGTTAAAAGGAGACCTATGGGACATAAAAAACATTATCAATGGTTAAAGAAGGAAAAAGTTTAACCGTTCCAACACCATGAGATGATACTCTAGAGCCATCAGCCAGTGTAACATAAGGTAAATGATTAGGAGAGGATAAAGAGGAGAACAAAGATTTGTTACCAGTAATATGATCAGTGCCTCCCGAATCAAAAACCCAAGGACCAGGAGAAAATGATTGGGTCAGACCAACAAAATATGTATTTGTATGTATGACAGATATAGTGGAACTAGAAGACTGTTGATCCTTATACCATTCGAGAAATTTGTTGAACATAGCAGACATGTCAGATGCAACAGAAGAAGGAAGATCTTCTGCAGATAAAGGTGGGGAAAGATTGGTCTGAACAACTACAGCAGATTGAGGAGGACGACCATGTAATGTATAACACTTGTTAATCTTGTGACCTAGTTTGCCACAATGTTCACACTTAGGACGCCCTTTTTCTTGTTTGCGAGGGCGAGCCCGGTCATCACGATGGGATGTCAACACAAAAGAATCGTTAACAAAATTGGAAATAGTGGAAGAAGTGGAAGAAGTCATGAAGAGCGGGACAACAAACCCTAAAACAATCCAAAGTAATTCAATTAACCCACGAAACACAAATCTAAAATGAGAATACTAAAAATAAGTTCGTCAAGACTTAACGGCGCAGGAGACAATGGGACGACCAACTCTGATAGTGGTGATCTCAATGGCATGGTGGTCACCTGACCGAGACAAGCAAAATCATATGTCACCGGTCAAAAAAAAAAATGAAACTCCGGCGAATTCTCCGACAGCGGCGGATCCAGTGACTGCTCCAGCGGCAGCGGTGACAGTAACGTGAACTAGTATATCAGGTAAGTTCCCAGGAAAGAGAGGTGGGTCACTAATGGACACACTTAAATACCAAGTCTTTCTTTGCCAGAACTTTCTTAAACATGCACTTTCACACAACTAAATAAAATTCAGTGACAAAGATAATTCTTTTCTGATGTGGAGGATCAGTTTACCAGCAGCGGTGGGGCGGCTCCAACAGTGGATAAAAGGCGGAAAAAAAAATTCAAGATAACCTTAAGCTCTAGATACCATGTTGAATATAGAGAAAATAGGGTTTGAAATTAATTTCCCTTGTGTATAAATCACACATAAGGTGATCTATTTATAGTAGAGAGATACAACTAAAAGAGTAACTGAAAGTAACAGAATAGACAGAAGATATTGTTTGATATTGTGGTTACCAATATCTAACAATATCTTAACAATATCAAATAATATCTAAACAATATCTAACAAGCACAAAAATTTGTGTTAGAATCTATTTATAAACTTAAAAAATAATTAATTTCACCTCCTTTCTTTTTTTATATTGAACTTTGCCTTTCATGATACATTAGGTAGTGAGATTTAGACTTATGTCATTGGAGTTCAAGGATTCCTATTTATCTCGGTATATTATAAGATTAACTATTTTCACATATCCATAATTATCAAACCTAGCTAAGAATGTATAACAAGGAAGACATTTCAATCCACCCCAAATCAAGACATATCGTAGGTTAAATATTGATGTATCAAAGTAATTTAACCTATGTCTAAGGTGGAATTTGTTCAAAGACCTAAATCATGCATCTATCAAACCTAATAATAAGGCAAAAATAATAACTCCGATCAAGGTTAATGTGGTAAGCTAACGGTACATAATCCCTTAATCAAGCTTAATAGGTAATGAAATTAGAAATGATGGGCTAAATCAAGAATTAATATCAATATTGTGATCTACAAGTACATAAATCTTAAAAAATTATTTGAAAATGATATTTTTCAAACAATTTAGATTTTCAGATTGATGACATTTATTATATAACAAATTATTCCTATGCCTATTATAGGAATAATACATAATTAATCTATCTAATTATTAAGATATAATCAATATTAAACAAATATCCCTATAAATACTATATTCTATTATCTACATGTAATTGTTATTCGGAAATTTTTTATTATTACTATTTTCCTTTTTTTATACTAATTTAAGCATCATAGTTTCCTTAGAATCCCTTTTTTTCTAACTTTCAATAAAAAAATTAAATATATGTTCATCATCTAAGCATGATTAGAATGAAAGTATGCTGGTATACATATATTTTATAAAATTAACCAAACTATGAAGATATTAAAAAAATTGAAAGACATAAAAATGTCATAATATAATTTAATTGATAAATTGAAAAAGATTTCACTCATTAAAACCAAGAAATTTAATTTAAAAATAAAAAATAATTTAAAGAATTTAAAGAAAGTATATCTTAAAAATAATAAGTAACCAGGAAAAATTTTAAGTTTATAAAATAAGTATTAGTTTGTAAAATTGTGTTTTGATTCAATTACAAATTAAGAGCGGAAAATTTTATTCACAGACATTTTTACTCTTTTCATCCTTATTTATCCCCTTCTTTCATTTCATACTATAAAAGCAGACATATAACTTTTAATTGAAATATGTTATTAATATTATTTTAATTTTTATGTGATTTTATGAAACAAATTGAACTAAAAAATATTAAATTTTTAATGGATCTACTTTATGAAATTTGTCAATTGAATATAAAATTTATTTAACTTTTTTTTTAAAGATAGTAAATTACATTATTGTTCCTAGATCAATATAAGTGTACACAACAATTTACGTGATGTGAAAACAACCAATTTAGTTATGACTCTTAAAATAAATCACAATTATATTATATTCGCTTTTATGTCAAAATATATAGTTTAATTCAATTAAGTTACATTGATAAGAATATATCTATTCTTCAAAATATTTGAAATAAAATAAAATAATTAAAATTTATTTTTTAAAATATTTTTAGCTTACCAAGTTATGCTTTACCCACTTTAACACATTGCTTGTTAAATCAATTGCTTTTCTCCTTGAGGAGTTACAAAAAGTCACAAAATATTACTAACTTTGTTTGTGGTAAATCAAAGGCTTGAAAACACATGAGGTACATATATTAATTAGCATTAGGTTTAAATAATAGAATTGAAAAAATTGTTAATTTTTTGCTAAAGAAATTGATATTTTTTTAGTTAAAATAAAAATAAAAATTATGATGGATGGTGAAACCTGGTGGCAGTGTGTGGGGGCAGTGATTCAGTGATGATGGTTGAGGAGTTGAGAGCCAATCATAAATGCAGTTGGGACCCTCACAATCAGAAGAGGAGCGTCTACCTCCAATACAAATTTTGAACCGCACGATTTACGAGGACCCCTCTTCTCTCTCCTCTCTCCACCCTCCGATCCTTCTTTCCTACATCTCGAGGAATCCAACAGCCCACGTTTCATGTTTGACCCATCACCGTTTTTTAAATATCCCATTCTCTTCTCCCTCTCCATCTTCCCTTCTTACCCCCCAGCTTTGAATTTCCACACAATTAATCTTTTTCATTTTTCAACGATTCACGTCAGACCAAGATTCAATTATTGATGCACCACTTTTTGTATATATTTGTTGTTGGTGATGTGCTTTGGAGAATGTCTTTCTCCATTTTCTACACCTTATATCCAATACAATATATTAACCCTATTTCATCATTCCCCTTATTATAAATTAATTATTTTCCACAATAATACTAATTAATAGGAGTTGGAGACCTCTCCCATTCAACTTTCTTGTTATTTTTCACCAAAAAAGAATAGAGCCATTAAATTGACATGCAGTTTGATTTGAAGGGCTACATGGTCTAAAATGGAACAATGTGTTGTGGCCAGGCCACTTACCACATTTATAGCCAAATGCCAACTTATTGTCTAATGCTTAGTGAAGAAATGGCAACAAGGACAGCAGTAATTGTGATTCACACTTTTTTATGCCATTACAAACAGCACAGAATTTATGTTTTTCTTCTCTTCTTTTATTTTCTTTCACTTTTTGTTTCGTAGGTGCGTGCATCACCATTTCTTCTTTCTCCGATCTCGTCTTTTATCTTGGAATCATAATGCCGTACAAGTTTCAAATTAAATGACTCATCGCTGTCGAATAAACATAAAAGACTCATCCATTAATCAACGTAGTTATTCGCACGTTATGCAACCACTAAGAAAAAGGAATACGATACATTAACAGATTAATTGGACACTAGCTTTTATTAACCAACTTTGGTACCTTAATTATAGAAAATGTATACTTAACAATGGAGATCCTTATTCTTAATTATTTAGTCAATATCACCTTTTTTTTTCCAATTTCGTATGTAATATGTATACTTGTTAATTTTATAATTTACTCTCTTATTTCTTCTTAATTGTTAGCTTTTTTTAAGTATTTATACCTTATTTATAAAATTTAAGATTATGTTAGTTATCTTTTATTAGTTATATTTATTATAGAAAGATAAAATAATAAGTTATTTTAAATAATTTTCAATGGAAAAAATAACAAAATGATAAAAATATTATTAATAAATTTTATTATTCTCTATAATCTTTTTACTCGGTTATTATTCTTTTAGAAATATTTTTAATGTAATTAAATATATCGATTATATTTTAATCTTTGCATTTATATTAAATAAATAGATTAGAAGGAGAGGATTATTTAAAACGCGTATGAGATGCAAACACCATTGTTTTTGTTTGGCAACATTACTTCGATCAAGAATAGTTTTTAGAGGTAACATTACTCTTCTTTTAAGACATTCTGGTTCCTTTACATTGTTCATTGGGTTTAATTTTCTACCATTTTATAAACAAATGTTGTTGTGTTTAACTTTCTACCATTTCAAACAAATTGTCTCAGAATGGCAGCATCGTCATTAACATCAAAACCAGTGGACAAACTTTACTAATAAAGCAATATTGAATTAAAGCAAAATATTTTAATAAAAGGCATTAATTGTGTCAGCGAAACAAATAAATAAATCTTTCAGAAATTGAATTCAAATCTTTTGTTTTTAATATTACTTGTCTTCCGTTTTCAAACATCTGAATGCCAACCAGACAAAGTTGCACAGCAACTGCAACTGCAACGTCCAACCTTGTCAAGGCACTTCATCAATCACCAAATCGAACGTTTTCGAACAAAAATAGGTTCTTCCTCTTCCAACACAAACAAACACCACTCAATCAATCAACCTTGTCCACGTGACTCTCCCTTCATCCAACACTAGCTCTGCTCTCTAGCTTACTGGAGAAATTATTTTGTGCTGACCCAATATTTATTTCCTTGAATCTTCACCATATAACGGTAATTAAACCATTGGTGAGAGCCTTTTTACTACACCCTTTTGAATCATCTTTTGTCTTTGTCCATTTTTAGGCTTTCAATCATGAAGTTTTGGTTGAAAGACTGAGATTTGGTGATTTACACTTGGTTCTTGCTTGAAGGGATAATCAAACTGAGATTTTTTTTATAACATCTAGAGATAAGAGAAGCTGAGCTCATGGTGATGAAGGGGAGAGATGAAGAGCTCTCTTTGTTCCTCGAGCTGAGGAGGAGAGAGAAAGAGAACGAGAAAAACAACCTTCTTCTCCTTCAAAACTCTGAGGAACTTGATTTGTCCAATCTGGGTATGTTTTCCTCTAATCATGTTTTTTGTGGAACTTGTTATGTTATATAATCCATTAATGATGCCTTACTTTGTCATGTTATTTGACTACAGAATCCAATCACGGGGGCTCCATGAATTCTAAGATCGTGTCGTCGGTACCACCAAGGAAGAATGGAGTTGAAGAGTTTTTGAATTCAGAGAATGACAAGTCTGACTATGAATGGTAATTTTCGACTAAAACTTGAGATTGCTTGCGGGGTGCGTGGTTTGGAACTGCGAGTTTATAGATCTTGAATATTCTAATTAATTGAACTAAGGTTTTGTTGGGCATTTGTTTTTTTGTATAATCTGATATATAGAAATTCTTGTAATCTAGATGGAAGCAGTCACAATAGTGAAGTAAAACTCCATGATGAGTGAGCTTTTTAGAATGATTAAACTGCATGATTGAGTTTTTCAGCGGTCCCCATTTGAAACTGAAAGTTTTTTTATCCTCTCCAATTTTGTCAATGACAATTTCTGGTCGCATATCTAACTGCAGCTCCCGCCCTTGTTGTTCCTCTTTTTGTCAATGATCCAGGATAAATAATTCATAAAATAACTAATTTGTTTCTCAAATATTTTATCTGTTAATCACACCCTCCTTGCAATCAATGGTGCTTTGTAGTTTCCAATTTTTAGTGGCATGCTTGAATATGGTGCTGAATGTTTCTCCAAAGAAACAAATTATTAAAATCAAACTATACTGTTCACTTGCAGAAAAGAAAATCTATGACCCCCTTAATCTTAATCTTTCATGATTTCATATGCAAACCTTTAGTGGAGAAATAAAAAGTGAATCAATATATTTTTGCGCAGTATATTGATCCTTTCGTTTCTATGTTATGTTATTCTAACAGCAATTTCCTACATACTGAAAATAACCAAATTGCATAATACATACATAAACAATAGTCATACCGTTTATATTTTACCAAATTCTTAGTTTCTGCATCTAGATTACATTACCATTTTGGTCCATCATAATTACATAGTATTGACTTGAAGTTTTCTGTTATCAGGCTTCTTGCACCACCAGATACACCTATTTTTCCTACTTTAGAGAAAGATTCACAAATGTCAGTGAAAAGTGATCAGGAGACTCATAATGCTCGCCCAACAGCTTTGAAACCTAGGGTAAGCACCATTGTATATGATTTTTAGATGTTGTTGAACCATGTCAACTGGTTGCATTCACATACACATAGCATAGACTTTTTCTTTATTGTTCTCTCTATTACTAGTTAAAATTTATTTTGAAGTTACGAAATCATGTGTGAATGTCATTAAATAAGAAGTGAGACTCATTATTTTTTGTTATTTCTTATAAATTTGAACTAATAATAAAGCATTTGTTCGAAATACTGTTAGAGTATGCTTCTGGTATTTTTCTTTCAACTATTAGTAATATATTTTCATTTTCCGGTAGGTTTAATTGATAGATACTAGCCGCTTGCTTCTTATGTTGTATCCTGTCTCACAGGTGGCTAATATCCAAGCAGAACCTGCTTCAAGAAGCAATATAGTTTCTAAGCATCATGCATCAATGCCAGGACTAGGTTCTTTCACATCTAGTAGGAGACCTTCAGCATCTGGAGCTCCAACCCCAGCAACTTCAAGATCTTCAACCCCCTCTGGAAGGCCGACATTACCTTCAACAGCCAAATCCTCTAGGCCCTCTACACCTACCTCCAGGGCTACCTTAACATCTGCAAAGTCATCAGTTCCACCAGTGAGATCTTCCACTCCTACAAGATCCACTGCCAGGTCCTCAACACCTACTACTACAAGGCCTTCCTTGGCAACCTCCAAGACATCGCAAAGATCAGCAACACCAACGCTTAGATCATCAACTCCATCAAAGGCATTTGGAGTATCTGCTCCTCCTACTAGGCCTTCATCAGCATCAAAGACACGCCCTGGCCCTCCAGTTGCTAAGAATCCGGTGCAATCACGTGGCAGCTCTCCATCGGTGAGATCTAGGCCCTGGGAACCCTCACAAATGCCTGGCTTCTCTCTTGATGCTCCTCCAAATTTGAAGACATCATTGACAGATAGACCAGCTTCAGCCACAAGGACTAGGCCTGCAGCACCGAATTCTAGATCATCTACTGTTGACGCCAGTACCAATGGAAAATCTAGAAGACAAGCAAGTACCCCTTCCAAAGGAAGAACTTCAACAGGGTTGGTTCATAATAATCACACCTCTATGCAAGTTTTGAGTAGAACTCGTTTCACTGATGGTGATGATGAAAGCCCAGTTGTGATTGGGACAAAGATGGTTGAAAGAGTAGTGAACATGAGGAAGCTGGCTCCCCCAAAACATGAAGATAGTCATTTTTCCCGTGACAATTCTTATGGAAAATCTTCTTCTGGTGGCTCTGGATTTGGAACTACACTTTCAAAGAAGTCTTTGGATATGGCAATGAGACATATGGTATGTCCATTTATTCCATTACTCATGTATGATCTGAAATCAATTAGATTATGAAGTTTTAATTAACGAATCCAATATCACGAGAAAGATATGAATGCTTTCATATGCATAACCTTGGTGTATGCCTTGAAGTTAAAGCTAGTAACTGGTTATTTCTTTATATGTCAATAGCATTTGGCACGTCCATATTCCCATGTGTTACTATAATATACTGGCATAATATAGAATATGAGTAATCAACATAATCAATTAACTTACCATTTTGGTTATATATTTATGTACTCGTCCTTGTAAGATTATGACTAAAAGTTTGGATAGTTTTAAGGCAAATTTATTCATGCACGATATTATATTAAGTAACAGAATGAATATAAAGTATTATATTTTATTGCTTCAGTAGATAGATATTAATATTAAACTTATATATATATATATAGCAATAAAATGTTGACAAAGAGAAAGATTGCTGAGTAACTAAATTAGTTTACAGATTTAAACAGCACAAGGGTATCTGAATTCGAATGTGCAATATACATTATGCTGCAATAAATAATGTATACAGTGATTTAACATAAACTTGTAAAATTCGCTTGTGTTACATATTATTCAAATTAAAAGTGTGTGCTTGATTCTCTTCCACAGGACATAAGGCGAAGCATCCAGGGCAATCTGCGTCCTCTTGTGACAAGCATTCCAGCTTCTTCTATGTACAGTGTGAGATCAGGTAGTTCTTCAAAGAGCAGAACAATGAGTGTTTCTGATTCTCCACTTGCCACAAGCAGCAGTAGCAGCTCTGAACCAAGTGTAAATAACAATTCCATGCCTTATGATGGAAGTGAGATTGAAGAAAATGATTTTGGAAGTGAGAGAGACAACTCTTCCCCTATCTAAAGCAGATATGATCAATCCATGATGGGATAGGAATGATCATTGGCCACTTTATTTGTATGTGGTACAACAAACAACACAGATATTCATGTGATACCATGTTTCCAAATAGATGTGCTAGTGAAGAAAGTTTGTAGTATAGTAGACATTATCTCTGTGCCTAGTAGAGTTCTCATACTATACAAGTCTGCATCGAGAGATTTTATGAGCTTTTATTATAGGAAAGCACTTAAGCATCTTCGCTCGTGTCACCAGGATTGTTTGTACCGAACCTTGAACTGCCAATTGACAATCTCGTTCAATTTTTTACCCACCAAATTCTTTAGGTTTAAATATATTTAAAAATTTTGTAATTTAATTTTAATTTTTATAGTTTTTGTTATTTTTATATTCTTTAAATTTGTTTGTGATTTTTTGGTCAAGCATATTTAAAACAAAATCACTCTTCTAAACTCTCTTTTGTTCATTGACAGTTTTGAAAATACAAAAACATGAGATCGTCAAATTTGGAAATCAATTATAAGTGATATAGACAAAACAACATTTATTTATAATTATTTCATATTATTTTATTCAATTTATTGATTTTTTAACATCCTTAAAACCTAAGAGTAAAAAAAAAACCTATATATATATATAGGATTATATATATATATATAAATTATTTCAATCAAATGCATATAGAAATCATTAAAGCATAACAATAGTAGCTTAAATACTGTTTGATTTAGTTTTAGAAATCAATTTTAAAATTTGTGAAAATAAATTAAGAAAAATGTGTTTGATAATTCAAATTTAAAAACTATATTAGATAGAAGAAATGACATTTAATTATGATAAAGTGGCGGGGGTATAATATAACTATTAATGATATAATATAAAATGCACATAAAAATATAAAAAATCATTTTATTAGTTTTTTTTTTAATTTTATAAGTTAGAAAAATAAAAAGTATTCCTAAAAATAATTTTAACCAAGAATTTATTAAATAATTAAAAAAAAGTAAAAATATAAAAAATATTTTTTTAAAATTTCGTCCTTATATACGTTGTATTAAATTAATCAAGATTAGATTAGATGGGTTGGACGGTTCAAATTATTGAATTGAGAACTAGTTTAGATTAAAATTTTCTAAAATTTAGATTTGTTTTAAAGTATGATAGAATTATTAACGGTTTTTTTTTTAGCAAAAGGGTCAAAATTTTAAAATTTGACTGAAATTGGACAAATCGTATTAGTTAAGACGGTTTTGACTTTGGTTAATCGTGTCACTAGTATCTTTTTTTAAAATGTGTTTGGTAACATGAGTTGTGTATAGTTTATTTTATACTAAACTCGTGTGTGCTACTTAGCACGAGTTCTATGTTTTTTTTTAATTATTTTTTTAAAATATATTATTTATTAAATAATTAATTTTGATTTAATTATTAAATTAATAGAAAATAAAAATATTTAGTGAAACATGGATAAATTTAATCCAATACATTATATTAAAATATTACACTTAAAAAAAAGTATAAATTTATTGTTAAAATGATCAGTTTATACAATTATGTCATTCATCTAGACAAAAAGAACATTTTTTTTATCTTTAATTTACTGTATTCATTTCATTTTGAATCTGATTAGTTATATGTCTTTCTTATGTGTCTTGATACATATTAGGATCAAGACAAAAATTTAGACTTATATAAGTAAACTAATAATCTTCATTTCGAACCAGATGAAATTGAAATTCATACGCCTTATGATTACTTTGTAACTTGTAAACCGAATCAATAAATGCAACCAGCTGTAAATGGCAAGAGGAACAAACAACAAAAACATGAGAACAAGGGAGTCAAAGGGCTTGGAGTTCCCCACAACCACACCACCATTGATTTAATCGAATTGTCTAGCTTATTGATTTTTGACGATGATGGGGATTGGATTGGTCTTGTACGTCAAACTTAGAATTATCTCGATTGTACCTTTGAACATGACACATTCGAGCACGTTGTTCGTTCTCGTTAAGCAATGTAGTAATATGATCTAGATACTCATGTCCAGCTCGTAACATGTATTCTACTTTCATGCCTTTTTCCATAAATCAAAATTTAGTTCTTTCAAAAGTTATTTTTACTAAGGAAGATATAGGTAAAACCCGTGCTCCTTTGAGAACAAAATTCATGGACTCAATAAGATTTGTTGTCACATGTCCAGTGACGGATTTTGACCATTGATATTGAGAGGATAAATAATATATTATTAATACATAATAAATAAATATAAAAGGTTAAAAGAAAATGAAAGTGTGAGAGAATAAAATTATAAATATATAAATAAATATATTTCCTCCATCATAAACTTGAGTCTATTTCTTCAATGGAATGTCATCTAACCAGGACATTGTGTAGGCTATAAGATGTTACCTAGATTAATTATTTGTCTTTTAAAATCAATATTTTTAAACTTTATGTTGGAATTTGAAGCAATATGGCGAATATAGTATACTGATGTGAGATCATTCCAATCAAGATTTTCTGATTGTAAAGCTGACAATATTCATTTGCCTCTATCCATTATCATGCATAAATTATTTTGAGGCGTAACGTAATGTCTTAGAAGTTGCAATAACCATATCAATGCCTCTTTCATTTCACCTCCCGCAATTGCAAATGCAAGTGGAAATATGCTTTTATTGCCACCTTGTGAAGTTGCAATCAATAATGTAGCATAATATTTTTCTGTTAGGAATGTATCGTCAACTTGAATAATTGACTTGCAATATTTGAAGCCTTTTATACATGGGTTAAATGACTAGAAGATACACTCTAATATAAATGATGGACTATGGACACCATGCACTGAATGAGAAGAACTAACGTATTGAACAGTTGTACTTGAATTACTATGTTCAACAACTTGCAATCACCTTGGAAGATCATTATATGACTCGTCTCAGTCTCCAAATGCCACGATAAGCGCCTTTTGTTTCACTGTCCATGCTTTTTTGTAAGTCACTATATAACCATGTTTGTCTTTGACTTTTGTAATCAAAGTTTTAATAGGAATAGAGAGATCTATTTTGACAAATTAAAAAAAAGTGTTATAATGACGGATGAGTCTAAGTTTTGATGATTTGAATTTAGTATTGTACTCAAACATATATGAGACGCTTCAATTTTCTTTATCTTCTACGAATTTTACTTAATGAAGCACAAACTCTCCATTGACACCTGTTGCCATAATGTATACAACAAACAATATATTTGTCAGCTTTAGACTCAACGACAAAAAACCTGTATCCTTCATCAATATGAAATTATTTGATTGCACTTACTGTTACTTGTTTTGACTGAAAACACTATTATGAAACTGTATTGCAGAAAAACAAGGAATTCACTCCCACATGTTGCAGACCCACTACCAAGTCTTTCTTTAACTGCTGCAGATCATATGAATCAATAATATAAGCAGAAGAACAAGATTCATTAACAACCTCAATGATGTTAAGTACAAAAAGACCTTGATCACAATATCTCTTCTCTACAAACACATTATTTTTTTGCATAACAATATTATCAGATTCGAATGACACTTTAACCCTAACTTTTCCCAGTAATGCTACAAAGATTAGATTAGCTCTGATTAATGGCACATGTAGTACATCACTCAAGACCAGAGTCTTCCCAGATGTAAGCTTTAGAAGAACTTTTCCTTTTTCTAAGACAAGAGTTGTTCTGGAATCACTGAGATAAACATGTTTTTCTCCATTCCCACACTAGTGTAGGAGGTAAAAACAATTATGTTTGCACCTATGTGTCTGGTAGCACCAGAGTCTACCACCCATATGCTCACATTTGTCACAATATTTATTTGGGAAATGACCGCAACAATTGTATTTTCTCCTTCGGTTAAATTTGTCTTAGGAGGATTGTCGTTTCTCATTCTATGCCTGCACTGAGGTGCATGATGACCTGACTTTTCACATATAAAGCAATTCCCCTTCTTCTTGAAGGTGGGGTTTAGATTCATTGGGAAGATAATTTTTTTAAATTTTTTTTCTTATAATTAGGTTTTTTCTCGTACCTTTTTGGAGTTAATTTTTCTTCTACCATATTTACCTTAGCCGATAATGTCTTAGCCATTGCAGCAACACACTCCTGATTGATATCTTTGATGATGATGGACGTGATCAGATTTGTTAGTAACATTTGTTTATGTCTATGCTTCTGTTGTTGTTGTTGTTTGTAGTCTGTCCAGGATTTCAGAAGTTTTTCGATTAGAAGTTCCGAAACGAATTTATCACGTAGAACTGTGTTTTCGGCTTTAATATCTTCAAGCAGTTTATGGTACTCATTCATCTGGATCTTGATGTCCTTCTCTTCTAGCATCTTCCAGCGGTAATAATTTACAATAAGGAACCTTTGTCTCACGACATAAATGACAATGTATTATAATAAACAAATCACAAACTATTTTTGTAATAATTGTTCATATAATGTATATAATTTTATAAACTAATTAAAAATATTATTTTATATTTTCAGTACATAAAATTTATTTCAAAAAGTAGATACGATATTAATAATATATAATTATGTTTTTAAGGATATTTCTATCGAGAAAATAAAATATTAAATACAATATTAATAACATGTAGAAATGTTTTTAAGGACAATACATAAGATAATGTCTATAATGAAGTTATAACCATTATATTTGTTATTAAAAAAATTACAAGATATCAAAGTGATAAATGGACAGACAAATAATCTAAATAGTACGTAATAATAATAATAAAATAAAAAATAGAAAAGACGTTACTTATACGAAGCATACATCTCTCACTAAAATAATGCAAATGTGAATAATAATTTGCATAGTGATTTTAATTTTTAATATTTAAATCATCTTGGATTTGAATATTTAGTCAATGTCTTTTAAAAACTATTTTATAATGACATAGAAAACTTAAACTAAATCTTGGACTTACTATGAATAATTAAGAGATTCAAAC